CCCCCCAGGTGTACCAATGAGGCTTCTGGAGGGGTTTATTGCTTGTGGAGTCATCTGCTCCGTCGGGGTGATGCCATCCTCCCTTTTCTTCGCAGGTGGCAGCGAGTCGATGTCGATGACCTCAGGGGCGTGGATGGGCCGGGCCTCCTCCTACTCCTCCTATTCCTACTCCTAATCTTCCTCCTCCTCCGTTCTCATCCTTCACCCCCGCCTCCTTCACACCCCCTCCTCGTACTTGCCCGCCCCCTCCCCCCCTCTTCCGCCACCCCACCATCTTCTCCTTCACCCCCTCCCCCCTTCAACTTTCTCCCATTCCCCATTGCTCCTCCTCTTCCTCCGAGTGGAGCCTCCTCTTCCTTCTCCTCCGAGACCTCCATCCCCTCCTTGTCCTCCCCATCATTCCCTCGCCCTCCCCCGCGCCCCCCTCATCCTCCCTTTCTGCTCCCCGTCCTCGTCCTCCCCCTCTTGCTCATATTCCTAGTCGTCCTGTCTGCCCCTCCTGGTCCCTCGCTCCCTCGTCGACTCCTCTCTGCTGTCTTGGCGGCTTCACCGTCCTCTTCAAGAGTTCACGTCTTCGGACCCAAATCAACCGACTCTTGACTTCTCCGCCTCCCTCTCAACCACCCCCTCCCTCTCCTGACATATGTTTTTTTTCACGACGTGGACCCCAGAGCTCTCGACTCCTTCGACGGTCCTGGAGCCCGGCGAGGGCACCTGGAGTCCTAAGTCGGCCGCAAACCTTCATCGTATTCGTCTGGTTCGTCTGTGTCTCCCCCATTCGTCCCATTCGGTGGCGTTCGCCCCGAAGATGACCTCGCGGAAGCTGGGCGTCGTGGTTGGGCTCCTCGGCGCTCTCCTTGCCACGCTGGCCTGCTACGCCGCAGCCCGGTATGTCCTCGAGGTCCTCGAGCCGCACCCCGCGCTGCTGAGCATCCCCTGAGCGCTCCTCCAGTCCTCCGCACGCAGAGCAGGAAGCTGTACCGATACCGCCGATCTTGCCTCCTCTTCGCCTCGATGTGTTTGGCTGGACGCTTGCCTCCTCTTCGCCTCGCCGTGTTTGGCTGGACCCCCCAGCAGTTCTCGGGGGCCCTCGTCTCGCCGGAGAGCACCCCCGGAGAGGTCTGGGGAGCAGCGGTATCGGCTCTGCGTGCTCTCCCCACGAGCTTCGCGCGGTGGCACGGGCCACCGCTTTTCCCGTGGGGCCTGCTTTCCAGATCGGAGGGCAGCGCCGGCGCAGACGCGGACTTCCAGAGGTTCCCCCGCGCATCTCAGGGAGCGGCGCTGAGCCCCCGTGGTGATGCCCCCGGCGCCGTCCCAAGTCGTGCAGTGGCGAAGTGTCCTGGCTTGCCTATTGGCCCACCGAAGAATGTTCTGAGAACCGTTCTCGTGGTCTGCAAGGAATGTTGTTGGGACATATCTGGCTGGGACTGTTTTGTTTTAACACACCTGGTTTATGTTCTAGGAGCACTATTTATGCTCTTAGATTAAGAACATGTCGTGGTAGGCCTATAAGAATGCCTGGACGGTCGATCCCTGCTCAACCAAGAGAACTGCGCGGACCACCAGAAGTTGATGTGTTCGCTGCTTTGTGTGTTGTTCTTCCACCCAGGCCAGGGCGTGGCGGCCCAGTGGGTCCTCGCCTGTCATCAAAGTGTGCACCGCGCTGCCGAGCATTACCTGTTACTCCTTCCCCTCGCCCCTCCGCGACCGCACGAATCCAGACTGCCTTGCTTTGCCGATCTGTCTCGCGCCGGCCTCGAGGCCATCGAGTCGCACGCCGCGCTGCCAGAACAGTCCTCCCCCAGCGGCTCAGCTGCCCCTCCCCAGGCAAGCTCCCGCAGGTGCCCTCGCCCTCCAGGCCACCAGTCACCACCCACCAAACCACCCCAACCCAACCCGAAGGCCTCAGCTTGCACTCCATTTCCAGTGTGGGGGGGGGGGTCGGGGAGCCTCGAGAAAACACATATGGAACCCGTACCCCCCCCAACCCGAAATTCGAGTCTTCGGGTTGGGTTGGGGTGGTCTGGTAGGCAGGCCATCAGGAAGCTGACGCCTCCTCGGCAGCGGGCGCCCCCCCTGCCGGCGGAGGACGTGCCGGAGCGGCGCGGGGGGCTGATCCCGCCGGCGCAGGGCCGGCGGAGGCAGATGTCTCTGCGCCTCGAGGGGTGCCAACTCGGTGGCATCCAGGGCTGCTGGGGCGCGTCATCGTCGTCGTCTTCCCCACTGTCCCTCCTCCGGTGCGAGGTCTCGAGGGCTGGGCAGGGGGGGCACCAAGGGGACCGACGACGGCGACGATGACGATGACGATGATGACGATGACGATGATGACGACGACGACGACGACGACCACGACGACCTCTCCGTGTGTGTGTGTGTGTGTGTGCGTGCGTGTGCGAGTCCCCGCGCGGCCGCCCCCGTCTTGTGTCCTCCCTCTTGCGCGCCGGACGAATCGCCTTTCGGTTGCCAGGAATAGCCACACTCTGGAGCGGACTGCCTCTGCCTCGCCGCCGACGGCAACATGTTCGTGCGTGTGTATGTGTGTGCGTGTGTGTGTGAGTGTGTGTGTGTGTGTCCTGGGGCCCAAGGTGTGACCCACAGGAGAGCAGCCGGGGTGTCGGCGCCACAGGCTTGGGGCCTATGGCAAAGTCTTGCTGCCGGAGATCTCAGCAAAAGTGCGTATCACATGAACAGTGGCAAAGTGCTCGGGCCACCCCCCAAGCTGCCCCCGGGACAACAGCACAAATGGGCCCCCCTGGGTAGACCCCGCTCCTGGGACCCCAGCCCCCTCAAAGGCTCTCTGCGCCAGGTTCTCTGGCCTAAGGGAATTCAGGGAGCGCCCACGACGCTTTCAAGACACCTCCTGACGGGCCCCAGCAGGCCACATGGTTTGAGGCATGATTGTTGTCTGCATAGCCAAACAATTCGTTCGCGTAGCGTTATACAGGGGTCCAAGCGGACCCAGCATCGTCCAGACAGCTGACCGTCGTTCGCTCGCCTCCTCCGTGGCCACCTCCTTCGGCCTCCCGCCGTGCTGGTGTACAGCTCGCCTGGCCGCTCACCCGCTCGGGGCCACGGACGCGGTGCGCGTTCGCCACCGCTGTGACCATCGAGGAACAAACCATGACGTAAATAACATCTGTCCGCGCGAATTTCTCGGATCTGCGCTGGAGCCCCCTGGCGGCGCCTCCAGCGTGCCCCCTGGCCCGAAGGAGGGACCCAGCGCCGAGCCAAGCAGTCAGCACGGACCTCCGAAAGGTTTTGGCTTGCGCCTCGTTTTTGTGGCTCCCCGATGCCGACACAACACTTCCCCCCGCCCGCAGCTTCCGCCCGCCTCCTTCGGGCCCGCGCTCGCACCCGCGCACGCGCTCGCCCTCAAGCGCGGAGGAGCGCGACGGCTCCGCGCTCCGCGCGCCGCCCTCCGCGCCCTCCGCGCCCTGCGCGCCCTGCGCTTACGCGCACGCGCGCGCGGCGCGCGCCCAGGAGCAGCATCAGCAGCGGCGTGGCCGCCCCTGCGCATGGCGGGGCCGGCAGCGGCCGCCCAGGGCCGCGGGCAGCATGGCCGCCCGGGCGGGCCCGCTCGCCAGCAGGAGCTGCCGACCGCCACCGCCGCCGCCGCCGCCGTCGGCGTCGTGGGCGTCGCCGTCGTGGTCGTCGCCGTCGTGGCCGTCGCCGTCGTGGCCGTCTTCGTCGAGGTCGTTGCCGTCGTGGTCGTGGCCGTTCGTCGGAAGCGTCTACCTTCGCTGTTGCTGCCCGCCGCCGCTTGGCGCTCGAGTCGCTGTTGCAGTGTCCCGTTCCCTCGCCAGCGCCCCCCCAAGGGGTATCTAATCTAGCGCCCATCGGTCCATCCCGCCACTGTGCGTAGGTTGTGGGGCCAGAGGCCTCTTGTATGCCTGTTGGGATTTCTTTGGGTGCTTCTTTGGAGGCCTCTTGAGGGGGATCTTGGGGCCCCTCGGGGACCTCGAAAGGGGCCCCTAGGAGGCCTATTCGGGGCCCCTTGGGCTCGTCTGGCGTGCTCCTGAGGGCATGTTAAGGACTTGGGGACAAACTTTGAGCAGCAAGCTTCCATGGCCCCTTGATATCCCCCGCTTCGGTATCTCCATGGCCCCTTGATATCCCCCGCTTTGCAGATCTCCTGGGCTGGCTCGGGGTCCTCCTCCTCCTCAGGGCCCTCTCGGGGCACCTTGGCTCGTCATGGGTTGATCGGAAGGAACTTTTGGACCGTGCAAGAGTGGCGAAAACCCGACAAGACGAGAAAGCTACAAGAAGTGATCGAAGCACCACTCTGGAGGCAATTGATTTTGGCCTCCTGGCGGCGGGCAGACGTCGCGCGACGAAGGCGCCACAAACCCCTGGCGCGGTGCGCTGACGAGGCGAGCTTGCCCCCCCTCCACCCCGATCGGGACGGAGCCCCCCCGCGCTGATTGTGTAGCGCTGAGTAACCATGGTGTCACGACGAGGGTCGCAGAGATTTCCCTGATGCACTGGCAATGGGAGGTTTCTCCGAAGGGCTTAGGCGACACGTTCTCCTCCTTCTCCTCCTCCTCCTCCTCCTCCTCCTCCTCCTCCCGCCTCCTCCTCCTCCTCCTCCTCCTCCTCCTCCTCCTCCTGCCAACTATGGTAATCAGTATGGTAGCTGAGTAACCAAGGTGTCTCGGGTCGCAGGGATTGCTTTGATGTACTAGCAGTGGTCTCACTCAGATGTTCCCGCCGCCTGCTTTTTCTCCCATCTGCGCATCTGGCTCAGTGGTCAGGGCGGAGATGAGGCGGGCCTGAGAGGCCAGTGGCGCCTCTGCGCTGTCGTGGTCCTCAATCTCGTTTTTTTTTTATTATGCTGGATTCCTGCTCTCTCGTTCTGGACCTCATGCTCGTCCCATCGCTAGAAAGTCCTTCATGTCCGACGTTGGCTCCTTCTCACCCGTCCGGACCTGTTCTGGTCCGAATGTTGTTAGGAGACTTTGCATATCCGATTCTTCACACGACTTCACACACCAGGTTTGGGCATGGCGCCCCTCCGCAGGGCGGCCGCCCTGGTCGTGCTCGGGGCCCCAGCGGTCTCAGCGCTGTCCGTGGATGCCCGGGCGGGCTGCGGCGGTCCGTCGATGGACTTCCCCGCGTTCGTCGAGAAGTATGGCCGCTCGTACCAGGTCGGCACCGACGAGTACAGCACGCGCGAGGCGGTCTTCCAGCGTCGCACCGCCCGGATCGCGAGCCACAACTGCAACCCGGCGGGGCTCCACACGGCCGAGATCAACCACCTCACCGACTGGACCCCCGAGGAGCTCGCCACGCTCCGCGGCCACAAGTCCCGCAGGGGCGCGTCGGGGGGCGTCGGCCAGTCGCCGTTCCTCCTGGCGAAGCGGGGCAAGGGCGTGGAGCAGCCTGTCCCGACGGACTTCTCCTGGGGCCACCTGGCCTCCATCAAGGCCAACAGCAGCGAGCAGGAGACGTTCCCTTTCTCTCCATGCCGCACCCTAGACGACCACCAAAGCACACACATTCACACAGAAGTTCCCGGAGGTCCGCGCAGGTTTCTCTTGTCGGCGTCGAGGGAGGGTCGTCCCAGGGCCGGGCTGGTGAACGGGCCTTAGCTGGGCGATCCCGTTTGGAGCGCGCTTCCTCCGTCCAGGGGCCGCTCGGAGCGATCTGCCCTCTCCAGTCCCACAATTTGCCCCTGCCTCGCCTCTGTGCCCCCCCGCGTGTGGACGGGGGTCCACCGCCGCCCAGCGCAGTCCCCGCGGGCCTCCGAGGGCCTTCTGCCCTGTGGCAGCCCACTCGACTCGGTCACGGGTTCGGCAGCGCGCGGGCGATGAGGTGGTGCTGGGCGGGCGGGCGGGCGAGGTGGCAGTGGAACGGGCGGGGGAGGAACGGGGACGGGAGGGGGGGGGAGGAAGAGGGGGGGAGAAGAGAGGGAGGCACTACAGGGGGCGGGGAAGCAAGGGGGGGGACGGTGAGGTTGGGGGTGCGGCCGGGAAAAGGGAAGGAGGGAGGGACGTGGAGGAAGGGCACACCAGAGAGAAAGAAATGGAGTAGGGATTGGCAAAGGCGGTGGCCAGAGGAGGAGGAAGAGGAGGAGGAGGAGGAGGAAGAGGAGGGCGAGAGGAGGGGGTAAAGATTGCAGCTGGGGGGATGTGAGGGAAGATACGTGGGATACCTTGGGTGATGCCAGAACGGGTTCTGAGAACGTGAATGGGACGGAAGCAGCAGTGTACATTCGGGAAAGAGAGACAGATTTGGGATGCTCCTCTTTTCCAACCCGAACTGTTCGAGAATTCGCAAGGCTGGAGGAATCGGCAACACGATTGTTCAGCAGTGCAGTACATGCCCGATGTACGTCTGTCTGTTGTTCCATCGTTGCATGTGCTCCTACCTGTAAGCAGGTAGTCCTTGCTTCTAGCGATCGGATGTTCCAGAGGCAGCCCAGGCCGTACAAATTGTGATCTCAAGGGCACTTGCGGCAGCTGCTGGGCGCATGCCTCGAGGCTGACCATGGAGTCCCGAGCGGAGATCAAGGGGCTGACGAACATCGGGTTTTCGGCCAACCAGCTCATCGCGTGCACGCCGAACCCGAAGCACTGCGGTGGCGAGGGCGGCTGCGACGGTGCCACAGCCGAGCTCGCATACGAGTACGTGTTCAACAAGGGTCTGCTGCAGGGCAGCGAGTGGCGCGCCAAGGCGGGGGACGACCAGAAAGCAGAGTGCCCTAAGGCCCTGAAGGCGTCCACCGAGGTGGCCACCAAGGGCATCATCGGCGCCGACGGCAGCGAGACGCACCGCGCCTCGGCGAAGATGGCCGGCTTCGCCACTGGCCTCACGGGATGGACGAAGCTGCCCGAGAACAAGGAGGACGCGATCGTGCGGGAGTTGATGACCAACGGCCCGCTGTACGTCGCTGTGGCCGCCGGCGACGGCTGGTTCGACTACAAAGAGGGTGTCATGACGGAGGACTCGTGCGATAGGGACTTCATCGTGAACCACGCGGTGGTCCTCTTCGCCTGGGGCGTCAAGCAGAAGACCGTCCGCGGGCCGGTCAAGTATTGGCAGATCAAGAACTCGTGGGGCCCGCAGTGGGGAGAGCAGGGCGCGGGCCGCTTCATCCGCTCGGACCACGAGGAGAAGGTGTGCGGCTGGGACGAGGACCCCCAGTCGGGCTCGGGCTGCGACGGCGGCCCCGAGAGGGTGTGGGTCTGCGGCACCTGCGGCATCCTCTACGATGCCGTGGCGCCGCACTTCTGAGTGCGTCCGCGGATGCGTGGTGACGCCCGGTCCGTCCTCTTCCCTCTTGATCCCCCTCTGTCTTTTCGTCTTCGAGCCCCTCCTCCTCCTCCTCCTCCTCCTGCTCCTCCTCCGCCTCCTCCTCCTCCTGCTCCTCCTCCGCCTCCTCCTCCTCCTCCTCCTCCTCCTCCTCCTCCTCCTCCTAGTCATCCTCTCCCCCCTTCGCCACTCTCCCCCTCCAGCCCCTTCCTGGCAGCAGCCTGCAGGCAGCCCAGGCCACAATGTTCCAGAATTCCCGAGAGATTGCCAGATGCCCTCTCTGCGCGCGTGCAGCAGGCAATCGCTGCCGAGGAGATCCGCAGGCCAGGAGCGAGATGAGGCCGCCCTGCCTCTCGCAACGGCCGCTCCCCCCGCGCGGTTGCGTGGCGACCTCTCAGATCTTGGCGTCGCGACAGCGAGGGCAAATCTCCATGTCTCACAGGTGGGCTCGGAGCAGATGGGGTCGGAGGATCGCGCAGCATCGCCGATGCGTCGGCGATGCGGCTCGATGTGGGGCCCGATGGTCTCCACGCCGACGTCGACGATACATCGCCGAGGCGTCGCTGATGCATCGCCGAAGCAGCGCCGCTGCGGCGCGATCCTCCGACCCCATGTGCTCGGACCCCACCTGGGCTGCCTCTCAAACGCCAGAGGTTGCCAGCAGGGATCCTGGCTAATGGCTCGGCGGTGCGCCCAGGCCCACGGGGGGGGGGGAGGCGGGAGAGCATGGCGTCACGGCGGGGATCGCAGAGGTCTCTTCGATGCCCTCTAGCTCAGATGTCCCCGCCGCGTGCTCTTTTCCTCATCTGCTCTTCTGGCCCGCTGGTCGGGGCGGAGAAGAGTCGGACCTGAGAGGCCAGTTCAGAGCCCCGAATCATCAGGGGTAACTCGGGTCAGGGCTAACTCGGGTTCGTTTTTCGGGATTCCGAACCCGAGTTATCCCGGACCCGAGTTACCCCGGATATTTCGGGCGTCCAGGGCCCCGAATCATCAGGGGTAACTCGGGTCAGGGCTAACTCGGGTTCGTTTTTCGGGAACCCAAACCCGAGTTACCCCGGACCCGAGTTACCCCGGATAACTCGGGCGTCCAACCAGTAGCGCCTCTGCGTTGCCGTGGTCATCCCGCTCCTCGTTTTCATCCTGCTATATTCCTGCTTCTCCTGCTCGCCCGATCGCGAGGGGTGCCTTCATGTCCGCTGTTGGCCCCCCCTCACCCGTCCGTAACTCTTCTGGCCCGCGTGGGTGCTCGGAAGCTGCCGTGCCCGATACCATACACAATTCCTTAAAACTGGGTCGAGCATGGCGCCCCTCCGCAGGGCGGCCGCCCTGGTCGTGCTCGGGGCCCCAGCGGTCTCAGCGCTGTCCGTGGATGCCCGGGCGGGCTGCGGCGGTCCGTCGATGGACTTCCCCGCGTTCGTCGAGAAGTATGGCCGCTCGTACCAGGTCGGCACCGACGAGTACAGCACGCGCGAGGCGGTCTTCCAGCGTCGCACCGCCCGGATCGCGAGCCACAACTGCAACCCAGCGGGGCTCCACACGGCCGAGATCAACCACCTCACCGACTGGACCCCCGAGGAGCTCGCCACGCTCCGCGGCCACAAGTCCCGCAGGGGCGCGTCGGGGGGCGTCGGCCAGTCGCCGTTCCTCCTGGCGAAGCGGGGCAAGGGCGTGGAGCAGCCTGTCCCGACGGACTTCTCCTGGGGCCACCTGGCCTCCATCAAGGCCAACAGCAGCGAGCAGGAGACGTTCCCTTTCTCTCCATGCCGCACCCTAGACGACCACCAAAGCACACACATTCACACAGAAGTTCCCGGAGGTCCGCGCAGGTTTCTCTTGTCGGCGTCGAGGGAGGGTCGTCCCAGGGCCGGGCTGGTGAACGGGCCTTAGCTGGGCGATCCCGTTTGGAGCGCGCTTCCTCCGTCCAGGGGCCGCTCGGAGCGATCTGCCCTCTCCAGTCCCACAATTTGCCCCTGCCTCGCCTCTGTGCCCCCCCCGCGTGTGGACGGGGGTCCACCGCAGTCCCCGCGGGCCTCCGAGGGCCCTCTGCCCTGTGGCAGCCCACTTTTTGTTCTCCTCTGCGGGCCTCTTCTGGGGCGGCTCTCTCGGGGCCTGCCCCGTCCCGGCCCACGGGGCTGGATCTCACGGGTTCGGCAGCGCGCGGGCGATGGGGTGGTGTTGGGCGGGCGGGCGGGCGAGGTGGCAGTGGAACGGGCGAGGGAGGAACGGGGGCCGGGAGGGGGGGGGGGAGGAAGAGGGGGGGAGACGAGAGGGAGGCACTGCAGGGGGCGGGGAAGCAGGGGGGGGACGGTGAGGTTGGGGGTGCGGCCGTGGAAAGGGAAGGAGGGAGGGACGTGGAGGAAGGGCACACCAGAGAGAAAGACATGGAGTAGGGATTGGCAAAGGCGGTGGCCAGAGGAGGAGGAATTGGAGGAGGAGGAGGAGAAGGTGGAAGAGGAGGGCGAGAGGAGGGGGGTAAATATTGCAGCTGGGGGAATGTGAGCAAGGGAAGATACGTGGGATACCTTGGGTGATGCCAGAACGGGTCCTGAGAACGGGAATGGGACGGAAGCAGCAGTGTACATTCGGGAAAGAGAGACAGGTTTGGGATACTCCTCCTTTCCAACCCGAACTGTTCGAGAATTTGCAAGGCTGGAGGAATCGGCAATACAATTGTTCAGCAGTGCAGTACATGCCCTATGTACGTCTGTCTGATCCATCGTGGCATGTGCTTCTACCTGTAAGCAGGTAGTCCTTGCTTCTAGCGATCGGATGTTCCAGAGGCAGCCCAGGCCTGACAAATTGTGATCTCAAGGGCACTTGCGGCAGCTGCTGGGCGCATGCCTCGAGGCTGACCATGGAGTCCCGAGCGGAGATCAAGGGGCTGACGAACATCGGGTTTTCGGCCAACCAGCTCATCGCGTGCACGCCGAACCCGAAGCACTGCGGTGGCGAGGGCGGCTGCGACGGTGCCACAGCCGAGCTCGCATACGAGTACGTGTTCAACAAGGGTCTGCTGCAGGGCAGCGAGTGGCGCGCCAAGGCGGGGGACGACCAGAAAGCAGAGTGCCCTAAGGCCCTGAAGGCGTCCACCGAGGTGGCCACCAAGGGCATCATCGGCGCCGACGGCAGCGAGACGCACCGCGCCTCGGCGAAGATGGCCGGCTTCGCCACTGGCCTCACGGGATGGACGAAGCTGCCCGAGAACAAGGAGGACGCGATCGTGCGGGAGTTGATGACCAACGGCCCGCTGTACGTCGCTGTGGCCGCCGGCGACGGCTGGTTCGACTACAAAGAGGGTGTCATGACGGAGGACTCGTGCGATAGGGACTTCATCGTGAACCACGCGGTGGTCCTCTTCGCCTGGGGCGTCAAGCAGAAGACCGTCCGCGGGCCGGTCAAGTATTGGCAGATCAAGAACTCGTGGGGCCCGCAGTGGGGAGAGCAGGGCACGGGCCGCTTCATCCGCTCGGACCACGAGGAGAAGGTGTGCGGCTGGGACGAGGACCCCCAGTCGGGCTCGGGCTGCGACGGCGGCCCCGAGAGGGTGTGGGTCTGCGGCACCTGCGGCATCCTCTACGATGCCGTGGCGCCGCACTTCTGAGTGCGTCCGCGGGTGCGTGGTGACGCCCGGTCCGTCCTCTTCCCTCTTGATCCCCCTCTGTCTTTTCGTCTTCGAGCCCCTCCTCCTCCTCCTCCTGCTCCTCCTCCGCCTCCTCCTCCTCCTGCTCCTCCTCCGCCTCCTCCTCCTCCTCCTCCTCCTCCTCCTCCTCCTCCTAGTCATCCTCTCCCCCCTTCGCCACTCTCCCCCTCCAGCCCCTTCCTGGCAGCAGCCTGCAGGCAGCCCAGGCCACAATGTTCCAGAATTCCCGAGAGATTGCCAGATGCCCTCTCTGCGCGCGTGCAGCAGGCAATCGCTGCCGAGGAGATCCGCAGGCCAGGAGCGAGATGAGGCCGCCCTGCCTCTCGCAACGGCCGCTCCCCCCGCGCGGTTGCGTGGCGACCTCTCAGATCTTGGCGTCGCGACAGCGAGGGCAAATCTCCATGTCTCACAGGTGGGCTCGGAGCAGATGGGGTCGGAGGATCGCGCAGCATCGCCGATGCGTCGGCGATGCGGCTCGATGTGGGGCCCGATGGTCTCCACGCCGACGTCGACGATACATCGCCGAGGCGTCGCTGATGCATCGCCGAAGCAGCGCCGCTGCGGCGCGATCCTCCGACCCCATGTGCTCGGACCCCACCTGGGCTGCCTCTCAAACGCCAGAGGTTGCCAGCAGGGATCCTGGCTAATGGCTCGGCGGTGCGCCCAGGCCCACGGGGGGGGGGGAGGCAGGGGGGGCCGGCGTCCTACGGCGGCCCAGAAGACACCTCGGGCCCTTCTCCGAAGCCGCGGGAGGGCTCCTCGGAAGGCCGGGGGGCGCACCAGGCCAGGGCCTCCCCCGGCCAGATCCGGACACGAAGCCGCGACGGCCGTCTTCCTTGTCCCGCCTCGGGTTTTTTGTGCCCCCCTCGTCGGCGCGGCTCGGAACTAGTCTCGAGGGCTCCCTGGGACCAGCTCCGGGTGCCACGGCCTGGCCTTTCTGGGGGGAAGGGGCGCCACCCTCGCCGACGGCCCCAGTTACAGCCCCGCGGCAGGCGGACCTCGCGCGTCGAAGAATGCGCTCCGACTGTGCGCTGGCGCTGGCGAGGGTGAGACTCCTTCACGAGGGCCCCCCCCCCCCTTTCTCACGCTCATTGATGCGAAGCCGGGAAAGCATGGTGTCACGGCGGGGATCGCAGAGGTCTCTCTGATGCACTCTAGCTCAGATGTCTCCGCCGCGTGCTCTTTTCCTCATCTGCTCTTCTGGTCCGCTGGTCGGGGCGGAGAAGAGTCGGACCTGAGAGGCCAGTAGCGCCTCTGCGTTGTCGTGGTCATCCCGCTCCTCGTTTTCATCCTGCTATATTCCTGCTTCTCCTGCCCGCCCGATCGCGAGGGGTGCCTTCATGTCCTGTGTTGGCCCCCCCTCACCCGTCCGTAACTCTTCTGGCCCGCGTGGGTGCTTGGAGGCTTCCGTGCCCGATACCTTACACAATTCCATAAACTGGGTCGAGCATGGCGCCCTTCCGCACAGCGGCCGCCCTGGTCGTGCTCGGGGCCCCAGCGGTCTCAGCGCTGTCCGTGGATGCCCGGGCGGGCTGCGGCGGTCCGTCGATGGACTTCCCCGCGTTCGTCGAGAAGTATGGCCGCTCGTACCAGGTCGGCACCGACGAGTACAGCACGCGCGAGGCGGTCTTCCAGCGTCGCACCGCCCGGATCGCGAGCCACAACTGCAACCCGGCGGGGCTCCACACGGCCGAGATCAACCACCTCACCGACTGGACCCCCGAGGAGCTCGCCACGCTCCGCGGCCACAAGTCCCGCAGAGGCGCGTCGGGGGGCGTCGGCCAGTCGCCGTTCCTCCTGGCGAAGCGGGGCAAGGGCAAGGACAAGCCTGTCCCGACGGACTTCTCCTGGGGCCACCTGGCCTCCATCAAGGCCAACAGCAGCGAGCAGGTCCCTTCTTTCTTTTCTCCAAACCGACATGGCGACCACCCATGCGCCCTGCCTGCCTCCACAGTTGCTGTATCATGTTCAGCCGTAATGCTCGTGGTCGATTAGGCCGTATGGCTTTCCACAGGACAAGCGTTTTGTCTGATGTCGTTCGGCATCCCTGGACAGTCCCCATCGAGCTCCTAGGTTCACCCGCTCGTGTCGACACACCCCTCACTCGTTTATCGTGCCCCTGCTGGGGGCTCCTCCGAAGGCTCAGTGGCAGGATATCCCATGCGGTCCCACCGCACATTTCGATGCACTCCTCGCCCGTCTCGCTGCCCACAAGGAGCTGATCCTTTTTCGCGACGCATTGCCGATGATGAGAGGGCCATATCTTGCATCAGTCGCAGCTGTTTTGGCTTGGGTCCTTCGCCAGTCTATTGGTTTGGAGGAGCGGGGAGGAGGAGGAGGAGGAGGAGGAGGAGGAGGAGGAGGAGGAGGAGGAGGAGGAGAGGAGGAGGAGGAGGAGGAGCGATAAAGCTGAGCGTTGATCAGGAGGAGGGGAGAGAGGCGACGAGCAGAAGGGGAGCGCGGAAGAGGATGACAAGGAGGTTAAGGACACACGGCGAGGACAATGTATGAGCAGTGTTGTGGAGCATTCAGGAGGCACATGGAAGAGGAGGATGATGATGATGGGAAGGTGGAACACGATGATGTGCGTGGAGATGGTATCGCAGCATGAACCAGCAGCACGCAGCAGCGAGCAAACGCGCGCAGCACCAAGCAGCAGCACACAACACCCAGCAGCATGACCATGCCGCGAGCGACAGCAACCAGCAGCATCAGCAGCAAGGGGCTCAAGCAGCAGCGCTCCCCGTTGTACCCGAAACCGGTTGGAACGCTGCCGTTTCGCGTGAGACGTCCCGCCAAAGTGGGCAGTTCGAGGAAGTTGTTACTCAAATGTTGGCTTGTGGCGTCCATACTGCGTATGGTTGCCGGGAAGGGCTCCAGGAGGGCCCCACCAGAGCCCATATGGGCCCCCTGGATGCCTCCGGGCGGCAGTTTCGTGAGAGGCATCCCCCCACAAATGGAGAATTCGAAGGAGTTGTGTCATAAGACTTGCATCGCATGTTCAAGGAGTGGTTTATGATGGGTTTTATGATCGGTTTTATGATCGGTGTTATGATCGGTTTTATTGCTCCAAGGGAGCCCCACAATTAGTTACATAATGCGTCCATCATGGCCCCCAAGCGGCAGTTTCGCGCGAGACATCTTCACGACATGGAAAGTTCGATGGAGTTGGTTATCACTGCTTGCCTCTGGTTCTTCAAGAGGGTCTCGCCAATGCGGCCTCACGGAGGCTCAGGAGGGATCCGAGAGATCCCAAGTAGGGCCCCAGGAGGATCCCGAGATGATCCCAACGCGGCAGTTTCGTGTGAGAGATTCTTTCAAATTGGAGATGTCGGGGGAGTTGGTTCTCGAAGCGTGCCCCGTGGGAAAAAACACGAAATAAGGCCCTGGGAGGCTTCCAAGATTGTCCAGAACGGAGGTGTCGCGTCAGATGAAGACTTCGACGGAATTTATTATGAAGGCTTCCACGATTGTCCAGGGCGCCTCGACGGGGTTCCAGAAACGGCAGCTTTCCGTCAGCCTTTTTTCCTGAATTGGAAATGGTTTGAACGAGTTGCTAGTTTAAGCATTCGCCGTTTGCTCCAAGAAGTGTCTAGTATGGCCCAAGAAGGCTACGTAGAGCAGGTTCAAGCTGGCCACGCGGGTTAAGACGCCCAGGCGGGTTAGAACGTCCAGGCGGGTTGACACGACCGTAGGATCATAGCGGCCATGCAGGTCGAGACGACGACAGGCCCGCGCAACGTATGTGTCCCCAAATGGTCTATGGAGGAGCGAGGAGGCGGATGATGAGACGCGTCCAGGAGGAAAAGGACAACAGCGCCAGCAGAGTAGCGCATGGCGGAGGAGGAGGAGGAGGAGGAGGAGGAAGGCGAGGAGCAAAGAGGAGAAGTGAAGAGGCTGAGCGAAGGAGAGAAAAAGAAAGGTGAGCTTAAAAACAACACTGGGAGTGATAACGAATGCATGGATCAGCAAGTGACAGAAGCAAGCAAAAGAGCGCAGCACCTACCAGCAGCAAGCAACGCTGAACAGCATCAAAGGGCCGCGAACGACGGCAATCGCCTGCATCAGCAACAAGGGGCCCAAGCAGCTTGTCGCCCCGTTTCGCCCGAAGTAGGTTTAACAAGGGGGTCCGGCCTCGAAGGACTCCCAGAAATTGTGAGGATGTGATTCGGGGACGTTCCAGACTATGTTTTTCGCGGTGGTGTTTGCGCACGTTTGTTTTAACATGGCTCTCAGCTTCTGAGAAGCCCATCAGCTCTGTACTCGGAGAACTGGGGACTAGAACTCGCGGTTGCCGAGTTGCTCAGGCCCTGCAACGTTGCCAGATGCCGCCTTGCGTTGATGAAGAGACTAAGCTTCCCGGTGACCGAAGCCTGACCCTCGCAGCCTGATGCCCGACACGAGGGGGCTGGAGGACACGCATACGTACGGTTCGTGTACTCCCTTGTTGTATTGCATACATGATTTGGTGGAACGTGTTCAAGTCTCACGTGTTCGTTGGGTTTCAATTCGTTTTCTGTCTACTCGTGCATTGGGGTGTGGTCCATTGTTACGGTGGCTATTTGAAAGAAGCCGCGTGGCACGGTGGTTGCACTGTCTGTACCACGGGGCACCACGAGTAGTCTAAGTCGTACGTACGCTATAAGATTGCGTGATAGTGCTGTCGTACGTAGCGGTACTTGCTAGTGTAGCTTTGTAGTTGCTTTTCTTGAGTGTGGCTTATGTATTTCTAGGATATTCTACGTTCGTTTGTTCGTGCAGTGCGCCTTCGGCATTCTGATCGTACCATGACATTCCAATGCAATAAATTTGTTTTCTGTATACAGTCTGATAGATGTATAATGGTACACCTATTTGTATGAATGTACCCAGGTTCATAACCATCATTCGGTGGTTCCTGAAGACCACCCCCCCTGCGATTTCTCCAGGGCGCTTGCGGCAGCTGCTGGGCGCATGCGTCGAGGCTGACCATGGAGTCGCGAGCGGAGATCAAGGGGCTGAAGCACATCAGGTTTTCGGCCAACCAGCTCACCGCGTGCACGCCGAACCCGAAGCACTGCGGTGGCGAGGGCGGCTGCGACGGTGCCACCGCCGAGCTCGCATACGAGTACGTGTTCAACAAGGGTCTGCTGCAGGATCACGAGTGGCGCGCAAAGGCTGGGGACGACCAGAAAGCAGAGTGCCCTAAGGCCCTGAAGGCGTCCACCGCGGTGGCCACCAAAGGCATATTCGGCGCCGACGGCAGCGAGACTCATCGCGCCTCGGCGAAGATGGCTGGCCGTGCCATTGGCCTCAAGGGGTGGACGAAGCTGCCGGAGAACAAGGAGGACGCGATCGTGAGAGAGTTGATGACCAACGGTCCGCTGTACGTCGCTGTGGCCGCCGGCGACGGCTGGTTCGACTACAAAGAGGGTGTCATGACGGAGGACTCGTGCGATAGGGACTTCATCGTGAACCACGCGGTGGTCCTCTTCGCCTGGGGCGTCAAGCAGAAGACCATCCGCGGGCCGGTCAAGTACTGGCAGATCAAGAACTCATGGGGTCCGCAGTGGGGAGAGCAGGGCACGGGCCGCTTCATCCGATCGAACCACGAGGAGAAGGTGTGCGGCTGGGACGAGGACCCCCAGTCGGGCTCCGGCTGCGACGGCGGCCCCGAGAGGGTGTGGGTCTGCGGCACCTGCGGCATCCTCTACGATGCCGTGGCGCCGCACTTCTGAGGGAGTCGGCGGTCGCGCGGTGTCGCCCGGTCCGCCCTCCTCTTGCCTCTTGATCCCCCTCTTTCTTTTCGTCTTCGAGCCCCTCCTCCTCCTCCTCCTCCTCCTCCTCCTCGTCCTCCTCCTCCTCATTCTCCTCCTCCTCCTAATTAGTCATCCTCTCCCCCCTTCGCCACGAGCGTGCGCGAAATTCTTCGGATTGCGCTGGACCTCCATCCCACACCCCGCGGCAGGAGAAGTGTGGGGAGGGTGTCCAGCGGCGACCCAATGAGTTCGTGCTGACCTCCGAATGTTTATGTTTCACGGCGTTTGATGATTCCCCGGGGAGCCCCCTAGAACCGCCCCCAAACAACACGTCGAGAGAACCATCCTCCCCATTTTGGGGAAACAACGCATCAGGAAAACGTAAGGGCGAACCACATCATTGCGACCACAAACAAGGAGCTCCCGAAAAGAACATGTACACCTCCTTGTTCGTTGTGTGTTGTTTCGAGTTGCCCCCTGCTGGATCCTTTGCAGGGCGACGCACTTCGACTACGCAATCTCTTGGTTCGCTCGCCGCCTTCCCATCCTCCCACCCAGCGGCGGTCCAGCCCAACAGGTGGAGAGTCCCGAAGCTCGACCGAGCATGTTCGGCCCCGGCGTCTTCGCGCCGCCGCATATGCGGTTACTTGTTCAGCATTTCCGGCGTTCGGTACCGCGGAGCGGCTTTTGGAATACTCCCACACTTTGGATTCTTCTTCTGCATCGCGGTCGGCAGCGTCAGGCTTTGCAGAGCACGTCCCCATCGTGTTTTAGCAGTTTTCCTCCGTTTTTGCTGCCACTTTTGCACAGCGGCAAAATGTCTGATCATCGTGATCCTTATCCGCCGTGATCGTTGGAAATACTTTTGCCATTCACCGCAACATTCATTGTGCTACTTACCTGGGTCATTATAAACTTGAAAACTGCTGCTCTTAGTATGCACCTTCATATACATCAACATGCTTACAGCATTTCTGTTTCACACCCATATAACCTATATACCGCAATTCACACCCATGCCATGCCGTCTCCATAAATTCCTCACAGGCTCTAGCTTTCTGTCAGCTGTGTCTGAGGAGCAAGCACCCTGCTACTGTCCTTCTCCAGGGGGGCGGCGCAGGGGGGCGACAAATCAACCGTGCTTCGCGCAGCGCGGTGCACCTGGCGCGAAGCGGGAGCGCGTGGAACACAGTCAAGGCGCTGAGGTAATGACCGCGTTGGGCCCAGGAGGGGCTCTGGTTTTCGGGCCGCTCCTCCGATCCGAGCCTGGAAACCTCTTCGTGGGCCAGGCTCGCGGTGGCCAAGAAAGTCCCTCGATCGTCACCCAGCGCTTCCTGCGGTGGCACGATGGCTGTACGGTCGCAGGGGCGCCGGTCCTCGGGAGCGCGACAGTACGGGGGGGGGAGGGGGAGGAGGCGGCCGCGGAGTCTGCCGCAGCATGCGCCCTCACATCTCAGACCACCAGCGGCTTTGACGGGTCGTGACGGCTGGCGTTTCCAACCCTGGCCTCCTACCCTGGAGTTCTACAGGCCCCCAGACCCGCCAACAGCACACATTCGGCGCAAAGACTGGACGAGTGGTGGGGTCGAGAGCTCAAGTGCTTCGCGGACCAACAAACGTGGGTACAGTTACTTCGTTGGCCGCGAAAAAGTTTGCGACGTTCGCTTTCGCCACCGTTTCGGAGAATCGGTCTGGCTCTGCAGTTTGCAGGAAGACTCGGTCCATAGCAGAGGCATCGGATATCAGGCAAGGTGTGGGCCGGGAAAGGGGGGCGTGCGAAGTCTGTTGTAGGCAACAGTTTGCTTCCCATTTGCCGAGCACTTGCTTTGATAAGTAGCACGAACTCGCTGGATGCGTCAACGGACGTGGAAGCCATGCCCAGACTTCGAAGGCCTTGGTTTTCATCCGTGAGCCCACGGGCTCTAGTACTGGTCGTGCCTGCCCAGACCTCCAGTGCCTTGGTTTTCGAACGTTGGCCCGATGGCTGCTGATGCATGCCGCCTCAATGGTTGCGATTCATCGTTCATGCCTTGGTGCTTTAGTGGTGGTGCTCGATGGCGGATGCTCTGTGCCCTTATGGGCGCGAGTTTTCAGTATTTCGCCGGTGCTGTCTGGGCGATGCTCTATGTGATGGCGCTCTGGGGTGCCTCAACGACTGCGAGTTATCGTTCTTGCAATGGTGCCCTGCGCAGGTGATGTTCAATCGATAGCGTCCCATAATGTTTTGATGGTGGCGGTGTATTATGTTTGCCTTGGTGCCCAATGGATGATGCTCTATGGCTGCTGATGCTCTGCGATGTATGGTCGCGGGGTCTCGTTCTTTCCAGGATGGCCCATGGATCGTGCTCCATGGGCTGGTGCCCTTATGTCTGGCGTCCTGTGGTGCAATATGGTTGCGACGTCTCGTTAGTGTCCCTACTGTATGGCTGGCGCAATTGGAAGTCTCAGTGGCTGCGACGCATAGTTACTGCTTTGGAACATTGTAGGCGGTGTGCTGCGGCTGTTGCTGTGTGACGCCTGATGCGTTGTGAGTTGTCATTCTTGTCTATGTGCCCTTTTGGTCGTCCTCTACAACAGGTGCCCTATGGCTACTCATGGGTTGCGGCCTGTCATTGTTTCATTGATGCATTCTTGGCGGTGCTTTACGTGTTGGCGTGTCGTGGTGCATGTATGTTAGTGCCGTATGGATGTTGCTCTATGCCTGGCGCCATGCGATGCACGGATGAGTACGATTCTCGTTGTTTGCGGGTGTCCTCAAGGTAGTGTTCGATGGTTGGTGCCCCGCATTGTCCTCGGTGTTGCGAGGGTTCGTCAGTACCGAGTGGGCCATGAGCGATGCTTGATGACGGGGTTCTTTGTGATACCCCAATGCATTCGAGGCATCGTGCTTATCTTGGTGGCCTACGGGCCGTGCTGCATGGCTGGTGTTCCATGATGCCTCGACTGTTGCGGTTGCTCGTTCTTTTTGTTGGTGCTATATGGATGATGCTGTAAGGTGCTTCACTGGTTGCGGCTATCCGTCCTCGCCCTGGTGTCTCATTTGTTACGAGTTATCGTGTGTGTGTGTGTGTGTGTGCGTGTGTGTCTTAGTGCCTTGTGAAGTATCGTTCATGTCGTGTGCGCGATGATGACTCGATTGATGCGAGTGCGTTTGTCGAGCCTTGGTGCCATGCAGGTCGTGCTGTGTGGCTGGTGCCGCATGCTGGACCAGCTGCCGCGATGTCTCGTTCTTGCCCTGCTGCCGCATGGGCGGCACCCCAGGGTTGGTGCCCTCCCAATGTCGATCTGAATGCTGTGTTCGTTGTTGCTCTCGCCTAGGTGTCTCTCGGGTGTTGCCCCGACATGCGTCTGATCTACAGTCGGGGCCCTGAAGAAGGAACCCTTTTCGTTGGGGAGGGGCTCGGTGCTCCTTGCTTGTTCTGCAGTGTACCTTCGGTTCTCCTGAGGTTTCCCATGGGAAATCGAAGTTCAACTTATGGGAGAAAGGGGCCTCGTTCCTTATTTAGGGTTCCTTATGTCAACGCCCCGACTGTACTGCACCGCGGAGGCTGCGCATCCAGGGCTCGAGAGCCTGGTGCTGCGGGCCCACGCTGGCCAGCAACGCCCATCACATCCCGGCAGAAACCGCTCCCGCACAGGAGGGGGGTCGGGTGCGGCCAAGAGGGTGGTGATGACTGGGGGGGGTATCCTGGCGTGGGCCATGATATGTCCTCGGATTTCATGGCGCCTCTCCTTCTATCATTGCGTCCCTGGGTCCCGCCCTCCTGGGCCGCGCACGTGCCGCCAGCCATGATTTGCGCCCCCCCCTCTTTGACGCCCGCCTCTTGGCCGCCCTCGAGCGGGGGGGGGGCCCTGCGAGCATTTCCGGGACATCCAGGCCGGACGCCTCGGCGGCGGAGGGGTCGGGGGGGGAGGGGACGGGCGGACGGACGGACACCACGTCGAGCACGGCTCGGCCCCCGAAGGCGCTCAGTCGTCGTCCGAGCAGAGTGCAGCTTCCAAGTCTTGCCATGCTGTCGAGTCTGAAGCAACATCTCTCCAGCTGCGGGGTGAAACTTCTATGCCTCTGCCGTTCATGAAGGCGACGATGTCACCGATCCAGCGAGGGTCCTCGTGACCCACGAGGGGGTCCAGCCGAAGGGGGGTGGTGCAAGGCGTTTGGGCAATTGTGTTGCACATGTATTGCGCCAGCGAAGTGTATTGCACTGTACAGCAAAACTGATGCAATGCACGCGAACATGCCGCAGTACATCTGCGCCCCGGAATGTATTGCACGCTCCAAATCTATATTGCAGCCCCACAAATCTATTACACCAAATCTATTGCACCACCCCCTTTTCTTTTCGCTGGACCCCCTCTTGGGTCAACTAGAGCGGGGCAGCATGCCATGCCAGAAGTGTTGCTCGAAGAGTTTTGGACAGAGCACGCCCCTCGCAGGCTGCCAGAGGCGCGCCTGCCCCCCAAGAGGTGCCCCAGGCCTCTCTCGCGCAAGCTTGGAGCCCCCGGCCTCTCTGGACCTCTTTCTCCCTTTCCTCCTCCGTTTCCTCCTCCTCCTCTTCCTCAACCTCCTCCTCCTCTTTTTCCCCCCTCCTCCTCTTCCTCCTCCTCCTCCTCCTCCTCCTCCTCCTCCTCCTCCTCCTCCCCTCCTCTCCTCCTCCCCCTCCTGTTCCTCCTCCTTCTCCTCCTCCCTCCTCCTCCTCCTCCCCTCCTCTTCCTCGTCATCCTCCTCCTTTTCCCCCCTCCTCCGCCCCTCCTCCTCCTCCTCCTCCTCCTCCTTCCTGCAGCCTCCTCCTCCTCCTCCTCCTCCTCCTTTCCTCCTCCTCCTCCTCTCCTCCTCCTTTCCTCCTCCTCTCCTCTCCTCCTCCTCTTCCTCGTCCTCCTCCTCCTGTTCCCCCCTCCTCCTCCCCCTCCTCCTCCTCCTCCTCCTCCTCCTCCTCCTCCTCCTCCTCGTGAGGGGTGATCTCTGGACATGGCATTAGGTCGGGCCTGTTCCTCTGCATGAGGAGTATGCAGAAATAGAAAAACAGTCAGGGGAGGATGAATCATGTATTGTTCCTCTCAAAACCCGCCTGTAAGATGACATGCCCGACCTAAACATGGCGTCCGGGTCTCCCGGCAGAAGCCCTGGCCACCCTGGGATGAGGGCATCTGTTGAGTTGACTGGGGGGTGGACAGAGCCCCCACCCTGACACGTCGACTCGTGCATTGTGTCCGCTCTCGGTTCTCAAATGGGCTTCGCGGCCCTCGTTTTCCAGGCTTGCGCACCCCAGGTTTTGGCCCGAGGTCGTTTTCACAAAACCACGTTTCACTAAAGGGGGCTCTGTCCATCCCCTGGCATCGCTCGGACGTGTGCATTTTTCCTTCGGCGAGGACCATCGAGGAGCATCCATGATCATTTGGCGAAAAAAACACGACCGAAACCGTACACAAAAACAGGGAATGGAAGTCCGAGCGATGGCCAGATCCCCGATTGGCAGCACCCGAGCTCACGTCTGGGCACCCCCGCGCCGCCTCTGGCAGCGCCCCCACGGCGGTGCCCCGCGACCCTCCCTGAGGGCTCGGGGACGCGACGCTCCCCCCTTGAGCGCCGACTCGCTCCGCAAGATCACCTTCAAGACAGGGCGGGGTTTCGCGGACGGTGTGCAGGGATGGTCAGCGGGTTTCCCTCGGGCGGCCTCGGAGCCGAGGGCTTGGGACGAGGAGGTGCTTCTCGTCATCCCCGTCTCCCTCCTTCGGGCCTCCTCCTCCTCCCCCTCCTCCCCCGCGGCCCCAGGGGCATTCCCCTCCTCCTCCTCCTCCTCCTCCTCCTCCTCCTCCTCCTCCTCCTCCTCCTCTTCCTCCTCCTCCTTCCTGCAGCCTCCTCCCGCCCCTGCTCCTCCCCCACCATCTTCCCACTCCTCCGCCCGCTCCGGCTCCGCTCGCAACCCGTCCGGCGGCGGCTCCTGCCCGTCCTCCCGCGCAACTTGGGCCCTGCTCGGGCACACGGGCGCCACCGGCGGGCGGGGTGGGTAGGCGAGGGAGGCGCTCCACCTCGCTCCGCTCGTGTGCTCGGGCCCCTGCTCCGCCGCCTCCTCCTCCCCGTCCCTGCCCCCTCCTTCTGCTCCTCTCCCGCCACGGCACGTCTGGCGCGGCATTCCGTAGCCTGCGCCACGTCGGGCGGGGGCCCCTGCTCGTCCTCCCGTAACTTGGCTCTGGCTCGAGCACAGGGTTGCCGTACATACCCGATCCCCGCTCCACCGAACATTGCACGTGCGTGTCTTCTTCTGCGATGTCGCCTTTCGGCCGCGCGGCCACCCTTGTCGTGCTCGGGGCCCCGACTGCGGCCTCTCTGTCGTTAGATGCCCGTGCGGGCTGCGGCGGCCCCTCGATGGACTTCCCCGCGTTCGTTGAGAAGTACGGGCGCTCCTACCAGGTTGGCACCGAGGAGTACAGCACGCGCCAGGCGGTCTTCGAGCGTCGCACCGCCCGCATCGCGAGCCACAACTGCAACCCGGCGGGCCTCCACACGGCCGACGTCAACCACCTCACCGACTGGACCCCGGAGGAGCTCGCCACGCTCCGCGGCCACAAGTCCCGCAGGGGCGCGTCGGGGGGCGCCGGCCACTCGCCGTTCCTCCTGGCGAAGCGGGGCAAGGGCAAGGACAAGCCCGTCCCCGCGGACTTCTCGTGGGGCCACCTGGCCTCCATCAAGGCCAACAGCACTGAGCAGGACAGCTCGTAATCTACAAATCGTCGACGAGCAGCAGCAACGGCACAAACCGAACCACTCGGAGGCCTTCCGGTGTTCTTGGGTCGGCGCTGAACCTCCCCACACCCCTCCACGGCCAGAGGTGGCGCCAGGGGCGCTGCGGGGATGGTGTGGACGGTAGTGTATCGCCGATCCGAGAATTCCTCAGGGTTCTCCGAGACGTGATGTTCCCGCCGTTGTCTTGCTCTCCCAGCTCGACTGGGGAGCCAAGTCCAGTCCAGGCCTCCCAGCTCGACTGGGGAGCCCTACTCCCCCAGATGAGGTAGCATTTCCAGCTCCAGGCGAGCGCGTTTCGCTGCGGAAGCGGCCAGCGCTGATGCGATAGTGCTCTGCATGCATTTGTTTCGAGTGTTGCTGGTGGTGTTGTGCATGGCTTTCATGTGTAAGTTGTTGATGGATGACTGGTATGGCCGTATGGTCTTGGTGCAGGAGGAGATGTTGCCGCCGTGTGCACATGTTGCTCAAGGACATGTTTTGTCTGATGTCGCTCGGCTTCTCTGGAGGGGTTCTTTCGGTTCCCTAGGTTTCCATGTCAATTGCAGGGGAGGGGGGCTGGTCGTGCGTTCTTAATTGCTCTGTACGCTTCGCTTCGTATTCATGTTTTACGCATGCGTTTCTTCTCGATCCTGGCCAGGTTGCAGAAGGTTGCTTTGGGGATGCGTTTCTTTCTGATACGCTTAGCAAGCTACCCTCTGGGTTTCCCATTGGTTTCTGTCTTCGCAGGTATGGGGGTGAGTTCATCTTTGTTTGTGTGTTTTCAAAGAGGTTCTTCGGTGCGGCCAAGAGTGACCCAGCGGGTACCGCCGAACACCATAAGCATCTGAGAAGTCTGCGCCGTGTGATGAGTAGTGTAATTGTACCTCCCATCATGTAATGGTGCTGTCGGCTGCCGGCTCCAAGATATAATATACTCGCGAATTCTCCAGGGCACTTGCGGCAGCTGCTGGGCGCATGCGTCGAGGCTGACCATGGAGTCGCGAGCGGAGATCAAGGGGCTGAAGCACATCAGGTTTTCGGCCAACCAGCTCACCGCGTGCACGCCGAACCCGAAGCACTGCGGTGGCAATGGCGGCTGCGATGGGGCCACCGCCGAGCTCGCATACGAGTACGTGTTCAACAAGGGTCTGCTGCAGGCTGACGAGTGGCGCGCCAAGGCGGGGGACAATCAGACAGCAGAGTGTCCCGAGGCCCTGAAGGCGTCCACCGAGGTGGCCACCAGGGGCATCATCGGCGCCGACGGCAGCGAGACGCACCGCGGCACGGCGAAGATGGCCGGCCGCGCCATTGGCCTCAAGGGGTGGACGAAGCTGCCCGAGAACAAGGAGGACGTGATCGTGAGAGAGTTGATGACCAACGGTCCGCTGTACGTCGCTGTGGCCGCCGGCGACCCCTGGTTCGACTACAAACAGGGTGTTATGACGGAGGACCACTGCGATAGGGACTTCATCGTGAACCACGCGGTGGTCCTCTTCGCCTGGGGCGTCAAGAAGAAGACCATCCGCGGGCCGGTCAAGTACTGGCAGATCAAGAACTCATGGGGTCCGCAGTGGGGAGAACAGGGCACGGGCCGCTTCATCCGGTCGGACCACGAGGAGAAGGTGTGCGGCTGGGACGAGGACCCCCAGTCGGGCTCTGGCTGCGACGGCGGCCCCGAGAGGGTGTGGGTTTGCGGCACTTGCGGCATCCTCTACGACGTCGTGGCGCCGCATTTCTGAGGGAGTCGGCGGGCGCGCGCTGATGCCTTCACAAATCGAAGTGTATGAGATCTGCGCGAATTTTTTGGCTGTCGGCGCTGGGCCTCAATCCCCACACCCCGTGCCTGGGAGGGGATGCGGGATGGCTTTAGCGCTGGTCAAATGAGTTCGCGCGGACCTCTGGATGTTTATATCTACGCCGTGTGTTGGTTGTCTACAGCCCCTCCAGATGGGGAAACGAACAGTGACGTAAACATGAGAAACGTGTCAGGTCCGCGCGGATTCCTCGGATCGGCGCGGGGGGCCCCTGGCGGAGCTCGCCTGGAGGGGCCGCCCCCGGCGCGCTCCGCGCGCCAGGGAAGGAGAGTCCAGCGCCGATGCGAGAAATCCGCGCGGGTCTCCAAGTTTTTCCAGTCCTGCCATTGCTTGTTATCCTGCTCGACCCGCCAAACACCGCACGGAACCCAGCGCGATGCCGCGAGGACCCCCCCCTATCCTTCTCCTCACTCTGGGTCGGAAAATACGAGGCAGGAGCATGGATGGGGTGGAACATAAAACTACGAAGGCGAACAGGGAAGTTCCGAAGTTCCGAAGGCGAACAGGGAAGTTCCGAAGCGCGATGCCGCGAGACCCCCCCCATCCTTCTCCTCTCTCTGGGACGGAGAGTACGAGGCACGCGCATAGATGGGGTGGAACAGGAAACTACGAAGGCGAACAGGGACATTCCGAAAGCGAGCCTTCCTCTTGCTCCCTCCCCTCCCCCCATCCCTGACGTCCGCTGGTGTGATGTCTCCAATCCGCGGCATCAGAAGTCCCGATAGCGCCAGCATTTCGCCCCAGATCCATGTTTGGTGGTCTTGGGGCCTGGTAGCGGGCCCTGGAGGCCCAAATGAAAGAAAACCCACCGGATGAAGAGATCGGAGATCTGGGATACCCACCCTCCTGCCCGTGGCCTCATCTTCCCATGACTGGTGGCCACCGTCCTCTTCCATCTCCTTCCCTCCTGCCGCTCCTTCTGCTCCTGCCCCCACTGCTCCTGCTCACGGTATGAAATGATTTGTTCCCTCCCCGCTCCTGGCCATCTCTTGCTGCTGCTCCTCCTCCTCGTCGCCCCCCTGGACCCAGACATGATCGCGTCGTGAGAAAACCACGCGTATGGCGTGCGCGAGGGCGGCTCCGATTACACCGCCAAGTATCCGCAGGCCCACAGCAAGGGAACGGGCTGGATGAGCTTCCACAGCATTCAGTTGAAGACCGTATGGGGCCGTACCGGCGGAGGCATTTCCTACCTGATTTTTTTTGTCAAGAATTTGGGCACTTGCTTAGGTGTGCTTGACACCGTAGTGCCGAGAGGTGTGAGAGAAAAATCTCCTCCTCCTCTTGCTTCTGGTCCTTGTCTTCGCCACAGTCCGCGCCTCCCTGTCGCTGCACGCTCCCCCCCTCCCCATCAGTAGCCCCCCCCCCAAATCTAGGAAGAGAGAAAGACAGAGCGAACACAATAAAACAACTTGTCCCGGCGACAGGCCCAGCCAGATGAATTCGTGGGTACCGCATTGTGGATGCAGCCTTCGGTGGAGCTCCCTATGGGGCCACGAAACGGGTGAGGGGTGTGCCGAAATGGGGCAGGAGTTGCCCTGCGAACCCTGCCATTGCCCCTTCGAGGGAGCTCACGATGGGGCCACGCAACGTGTGAGGGGTGTGCCGAAATGGGGTCGGACTTGCCCTGCGAACCCTGCCACTGGGGCCTTCGGTGGTTCTCCTTTTGGGGCCACGAAGTGTGAGAGGGATGTGCCGAAAATTGGTGGGGCCGCCATGCGAAGCCTGCCACTGGGGCCTTCGGTGATTCTCCTTTTGGGGCCACGACGCGTGCGGGATGTGTCCCTACATGTGGTGGGGCCGCCATGCGAACCTTGCCACTGGGGCCTTTGGAGGAGCTCCCAATAGGGGCCATGAAACGTGTGAGGGGTGTGCCGAAATGGGACGGGGCCGTCATGCGAACCCTGTCACTGGGGCCTTTGATGGAGCTGCTTATGGGATGTGCCCAAAGGCGCGTAGTGCTGCCATGTGAACCTTCCCGCCGGGGCCTTCGGTGGGGCTTCCTTTGGGTACCGCATTGTGGATGCAGCTTTCGGAAGAGCTCCCTATGGGGCCACGAAGCGTGTGAGGGGTGTGCCGAAACGGGGCGGGGCCGCCATGCGAACCCTGCCGCTCGGGCCTTCGGAGGAGCTCCGATTGGGCCACGCAACGTGTGAGGGTGCTGACATGGGGCAGGGGGAGGAGGAGTGAGTGGACGCGGGACGCTGTCTCGTCAAAACGAGGACCCAACACCATAGAATGGCTGGAACAACAGGAAGGGAAAACGAGAGAGAGAAGGAGAGGGAGAAGGAGAGGAAGAGGCAGAGGCAGAGGGAGGGAGGGAGAGGGAGACGCGGAAACAGAGACAGACAGAGATACACGGTACAGGGCAAAGCGAGAGAGGCTGAGAGAGAGGGGGGAAGGAGTGAGAGAGAGAGAGAGAGAGAACGAGAGACCGAGACATAGACGAACACATACGATAAGGTTGGAGGATGCACGGGATGAAGACGTATTTCAAATTGAACAAATCCCTGCGATATCTTAATTGCGTTTTCATGTAAAACTTAGTAACTTGAGTCTTTGCGACTGGACCACGTTTCAAGATTGAATGGTTTCTGGCGTCCCGCCTCCCTTCCGTTTCCCTGAAGAGGGTGGGGCTCAGGGTTCTTTTTTAGTTCTGTTGTTTCCAGATTCGATTTGAAGGAAGCCGGCGTATTTACCCTGATATTAATAACGGGGTCGAAACGGGCCGGCGAATGAAAAGGTTGAGGATGTCCTTAGCGAAATGATTGTTTCAGATACATGTGTTGAGGATGTCTCAGACGAAACGCTGGTTTTTGCAGATTTGGGGGGTGCCTCGAGCGGGGTGCAGAATCAGGGGTTGTCTCAGGCGAAATGCCAGTTTTCACATACCCAGGTCGCCCAGACGGGGTATCTAACATAGCTGTTTTTATTCAGATGGAGCCACGTGATTTCACATGTCCAGGCCACCCAGCATGAGGGGTATCTAAGATGGTTGCCATTTGCCCCTCGCTGGAACCACATGTTTTCACGTGCCCAGGCCACCCAGAGGGGTCTCTAAAATGAATGCCCCTAGCTGGAAACATCTGTTTTGACGTGCCCAGGCCACCCTGATGGGGTGTCTAACATGGTTGCCCCGAGCTGAAGCCATAAGCTTTCACGTGTGTTCCG